TCTTGTCCAGTAACTTATCAAATTCCAAACAACTTTCAAATTTTACCCTGTGAACATTCAATCAGTTCTGAAGCATTACAACGAATTATTAAAAGAACATCCCAACCAACTTGTCCATTATGTCGGAAAATAATTGATTTAAATTCTGTGATTACCTTGCCACAATCAGCCATTCATCAAGGAATCCGTAATCATTTGCCTGAAGATAATAATAGTAACGTTGCTCAAGATCATAACAAAAATATTTCTGATGAAAGTAGTGACGATGAAGAAATCAATATCTTTAAACTCAAATCTCAACAAAAATTTAAGCGATCGAATTCAACAGTGAGAAAAATTTTTAAGACGCCAAAATTTTTTCACCGGTCATTAAGAAAAGCAAACACTGCATATAAATTAGGAGATCTTGAAACTGTTATTAATACACTTACAGAAGTTCTTAAAGATTATCCTACAAGCTATTCATTACAATGTTATCGGGCCAAAGTATATATAGAATGTAATAAATTTCATGAAGCAATTAATGATTTAGATTCAGCTATAAAACAGAAATCAAATAAATTTGATGCTTATTCGCTACGTGGGATAACATATTTTAAAATAAATAAATACGAAGAATCACTAAATGATCTAACGAGATCATTAGAAATAGAACAGAATAATACGTCAGCATTAAGTTATCGTGGTATGACTTATTATATGGAGAAGGAATATGGTAAATCACTTTACGATTTAACAAAATCATTAGAGATCGAGCCAAATAATGCATCCGCATTAAGCTATCGTGGCATGATTTACTACATTAGAAAAAAATATTATATGTCACTTTTAGATTTAGTACAATCATTAAGTATCGAGCCTAATAATCAATCCCTTTTTGATTTAATTAAATTATTAAAAATTGAGCCAAATGATATATCTGCATTAAAAAATCGTGGCATTATTTATTATATGATGAAAGAATATGATAAATCACTTTTAGATTTAACAAAATCATTAGAAATCGAGCCAAATAATGCTTCCGCATTAAGATATCGTAGTATGGCTTACCGTGGCATGATTTATTATATGGAGGAGGAATATGATGAATCACTTTGGGATTTAACTAAATCATTAGATATCGAGCCAAATAATGCAACTGCATTATATTACCGTGGAATGGCTTATTATATGATAAAGGAATATGATAAATCACTTTTAGATTTGACTAAATCATTAAAGATCAAGCCAAATAATGCATCTGTATTAAGTTATCGTGGCATGACTTATTATATAATAAAGGAATATGATAAATCGCTTTTAGATTTGACTAAATCATTAGATATCGAGCCACATAATGCATCTGCATTAAGTTATCGTGGAATGGCATATTATATGAAGAAGGAATATGATAAATCACTTTTAGATTTGATTAAATCATTAGATATCGAGCCAAATAATGCATCTGCATTATATTACCGTGGCATGATTTATTATATGGAGAAGGAATATGATAAATCACTTTGGGATTTAATAAAATCATTAGAGATCGAGCCAAATAATGCATTTGCATTAAGTTATCGTGGCGTAGATTATTATATGAAGAAGGAATATAATAAATCACTTTTAGATTTAACAAAATCATTAGAAATCGAGCCAAATAATACATCTGCATTAAGTTATCGTGGCATTATTTATTATGCGATGAAGGAATATGATAAATCACTCTTAGATTTGATTAAATCATTAGATATCGAACCAAATAATGCATCTGCATTATATTATCGTGGTATGATTTATTATATAAAGAAGGAATATAATAAATCACTTGAGGATTTAACTACAGTATTAGAGGTCGAACCAAATAATATATTTGCATTAAGATATCGTAGTATTGCTTATTATATGGTAAAAAATTATGATAAATCACTTTCAGATTTAACAAAATTATTAGAGATCGAGCCAAATAATGCATTCGCATTAAGTTATCGTGGTGCGATTTATTATATAATGAAGGAATATAACAAATCACTTTTGGATTTAACAAAATTATTAGAGATTGAGCCAAATAACGCATTCGCATTAAGTTATTGTGGTGCGATTTATCATATAACGAAGGAATATGATAAATCACTTTTGGATTTAACAAAATCATTAGAGATTGAGCCAAATAATGCATTTGCATTAAGTTATTATAGTATGATTCATAATATGAATATACAGTAAAATCACTTTAGGATTTATAAAGACTAAGCCAAATAATGGATTACTTTAAAATGATGCTTTTATATTAAAATATCATTATGAAATGACACTTGTAAGAAATCGATAATGCTTACTGTATCATTTGGGAGTAAGCCAAATAATAAATCAGTTATTAAAGTATGAATATTAGATATCTAATTAAATCAGCATAACCTTTGAGTTTAGTTCATTCAATTCCTTTTAGAGATTGAAATCACATAAAATTTTCTCAACCACTTAACTTTAGTTCAGTTCACATTAATGCCATTCTTGATATTTATAATTATTTGGTTGGTTATTAAATAGTAAAGAATTTTTTTTTATACGTTGTAAATCAAATATAATTTATTACAGAACTTTTCAACCATCTGATTATTGTCCATCACAAAGAAATTCGACAACTCTGTGATCTTTTTCTTGAATAAGTCTACTTGTAGATACACGTCACTCTGGTTATATCGGCATCTGGAAATACCGACATCTGGCTATAACGACATTTTTATAATTTTGAAACTATATACTTAATATGAAATACTTCTGGTTAAACCGTATATCGAATAATTCCTTTATTTTTTTGAGGTGTCGATATAACCAGCGTGACGTGTAATAAAAACACCTGATTCTCATACTTCAATTTTATAAAAAAAAATACTTGAATATTAAAAAATAATTTGAAGTGCATGGATATTAATAATGAAAAGATACTTTTAACAGTAACTAGAAATTAAGCCCGTCATAAAATTTTTCACCGGGTTATTTGTTCATAGGACTATATCTGGGTGGTTATTAAAAATGACTCGGGTAACCCAGATCAGTGTTGTCACTTGGAGGATTGCTGGAAGGCTACTGGAAGTAAATTAATAGTGTTACTGGAACTTTAAGTTCCAGTGACATTATTGATTTACTTCTTGAACTTGCAATTATAGATAAGTATAACTTCGGGCACAACACATGATTTTTTCAATATTGTATTGAGTTTTGCGTTATTCTGACAATTAGAATTATGAAACTTGCGATATAAATTGCAGATCGGCAAAAAAATTTATGGAAAGCATAAATACTACGATTTTCAGATGGCGGGTAAATGCTACTTATAACTGTAATGCTCTCAAATGTTTGTTGAATTTGATTTCTATGTTTGTACAGGCTTAAATTCTTTTCTCAATTTGTGATTATAATTATCTGGATCATTATTATAGAAAGATTCCGAAAGCTCAAGAATTATAAACCATTTATTTCTTGCATATATCACATAATCTTCAAGACTTCGTATGAATTCTATATTTTGAGTTTCTATTATTTATATGCCTTAAGCTTCTAAATGTTTTATTGTTTTTTATTTTTTGCAACCTATATGATTGTTTCATGTTCGATGTAAATAAGTAATATATTGAAATAATTCCGTCTCAAGAATGTTAATGCATGATAGAAATATGGGGGTGAGTTAATAGAAACGCACCAAATTTTTCTAAGTATATTTTTTTAAAACTTTAAACAAAGATAACTTAACAACAACTTAACCAAATTTTATAATTTTTTTTAAAAAAATAATTCTAACAACTTATAGAATTTATTTAAAAAAATTTCACTAAAAATGATTTGGTGCGTTTTTATTGACTCACCCTCATATTTTAAGCTATAATTTTTTGTTCCCGGAATATTAAGATTTTTGAAATATTCTTATTGTTAACAAGAATTTTTCTAATTTAACAATTATTATCAAAAACATATACAGTTAGTTCTCTGTAAATGTATCTTCTTGAAACTATAGACAAAATGTGCATTTAGAAAGAGTGTACATTTATGAAAGGTATTTTATCAAATCCACTATATGCTTGAAACTGAAGAATAGTATGTACTTATTTAGAGAGGAAGCATTCAGATTAAAAAGTATATTAATACGCATATATATTCTGCATAGAAATAATATACTAAAAATTAAACTGTATGGTTATTACAAATGAATTTGGCTTATATATATAATACAGGTAATTAAATTATTAATTTCGATAAAATGTATTAGTATACATAAATACTTTTAGTGATAGTAATAATTTAAAAAATATTCATATTTGATTTCAATATACTACTTGATCACTATGCATAATGAATTGTGATTCATAAATTCCTGCCCTGTATCTATCTCTAGTAATACATTCATAGGCAGAAGTTTGTCTGATTGGCTAATAAATTCAATTTGATTTTACATTATTTATACAGTTTAGAGTGTTTTTAGAAAAACAAAAACTGATCATGGAATAAAAAAAAGCTGCATTGAAGGTTTCATTAGAGCTGTAGGACTCCATAACCAAAAATAAGATCTAAATCTCGTCCGTTTAAAAAAGGTAGTATAGTAATAACTTCTCAACATCCGATAAAATCAACCTATTAGTAAAGTATAAGTGGGTTTGGGTAGTTAAATAGAAACCCCATTTTCATTTTAATCCGACAATTAATAATATATCTGTAAGTTATCCCTCAATTTTTTATCGCTTTTATATAAGGAATGCAAAGAAATTATTAAATATTTTATTTTTATTGAGCATTACCAAGTAGTAAATAAAATCACTAGCTTGACACAAAATATTTAAAGAATGGTTTTCATCTGCAATCCTTGTTTAAAATTTTGTGTCTCATGGTTCTCAAAGAACATTCAATCTTTTTAAAGAATATTGATTTTAAAATATAGGTTTGCTTATTTTATCCTTTCAAAAAATTATTCGATATGATGAACTAGTGTCGTTTGAGTCGGGTTTAGGGTAAACTCGAACCTAACTCAAGTAAAATTGGATGTAGTTTGGTATCTATAGATTTGTATTATATACTTTATTATTATGAAACTACGATTTTCATAATATTAAAATAATTTTAATTTGACTTAAGTTGGTTTAAAAGGTCTTGGGTTGGGTTTAAAATTTGGGTTACTAGAATTGACAATCCTTTAGAACAACATATAAAACATTAAAAAATTTGAGGTCACTAATAATTTAAATTAAGCTCTTTTGAGAAAATTTGAATTTTAAACACTATCTGCAATACGTATCTCAATTTTGTTCTATAAAATATATATCCTAAAAAAGCTAAATAAAATTGAGAGTTTAAAATAAAGGTATCAAAAAAATAAAATAAAAACAAAGTTTTCCAATATGCTTTAGCAAAAGCAAAAACTTAAACTTTCAGCTAATGTTGTTAGACGAAACCTAAGGGTTTCGTCATTGACGAAAGTCGAAACCTAGTTTCGTCTTTCGTCAAAAAAA